CCTGTTCAAAGAGCAGCAAGAAGTCCATGCGTTGGGGTAGCATGAACAAAGGAGGACAAGTAGCTTGCAACTAACATCAAAGAGGCACTCAGGGACCAGATGTGGTGGGCCACTGCAGGATGCGGGCTTTGATGCTAAGAGAAATGGGGAACTACTGGAGGATTTTTGCAAGAGCAACTGATGTGCTCACTCACAGCTCTAAAAGTGTGAGGAATAAAGGAAGAGGGAGGAAGACTGGTTCAGAGGCTTCTGCAATAATCCGAGCCATGGAGGATGATCGCTGGGCCAAGGTGGGGAGGGCGGATGGAGGGTGACTTGGGGGCTGCAAGCTGCTCACGCCCTCCTGGGCACCAACACAGAGGTGGGTGGACCCATATGGGCAGTCAAGGCTCAGAGGTTCCCAGACAGAGCAGAGTTTGGCAGCTGATGATGAACGTGACCACCTGCCCTGCCACACAGAGCATCCGACTGCGGAGGGAAAGCGAGGTGAGATCAGTTCACATGGGATCCACGATATCAAGGGAGAATCTGCATTTTTATTCTACCCGAGGCTGGTGGGGTTTTGGCACGAACAATAATATAATTCCAAGGGCTCCTAAGTTGCTTCATTTAGAAAATCTAGAGATTGCTTCTGATAGCCCAAGGGAGGTCTGGTTAATAGTGTGTGTCCCTCAGCCGTGTGTGTGTTTGTGTGTGTGTGTGTGTGTGTGTGTGTGTGTGAGAGAGAGAGAGAGAGAGAGAGAAAGAGAGAGAGAGAGAGAGAGAGAAAGAGAGAGAGAGAGAGAGGGAGAGAGACACAGAGATGGGGGGGAGAAGAACTCGAGACAGAGCTGGGCACTGTCAAATCTTGTCAGGCTTTGAAGAAAGGGTTTCTCCAGAGGGAACGGCCTCTGCCTGGCGATTCTGAGACTCGAATCTTTTGTGGCACATGCAAAAGTCCAGCCCCCAAAACACCAGCACGTGCAGCGTGGATAATCTCCTGCAGTCTGGTAACTATTATACATGTAAGTTCATTTCAAATCACAGGCCTGTCACGGCCCCTCGGGCAATGACAGCCATCCTGAACATTCCAGCCCAGTCAGACGGGGTGTGTGGCTGACGGACAGGGACGCTTTCCAGCCTCGGCACGGGTGGGAACAGATGCCCATTTCTTTCCTCGAGACCTGTGTTTCTAGATTACATCCAGACGGAGATGCTCTTTCTTAAAACGAAACACTACCCAGGCGCCCAAGGCTGCTTAAAACGACCCTCAATTAGAGAAACCAGTGTTGGCTAACAGGTCACCCCCAAATCTGAAGTCACACGAGGAGGGCACGAATCCAGATGCAGGCATGTGAGGGACAGAGGGAGCCTGTTGTTATGTCCAGAGACGCAGCAAACAGCACGTTCCTGCCACTCCCAGCCACGACTCTCCACTGACCAGACACCAGAAACGCACAGGAGTATGCACAGAGGTAGAAGTTAGTTTCGTGACACACTCTGTTTTTTTCTCTAGCATGGGAATTCCACAAGTTTTAGCGCCTAAAACACATGGTTAATCACAAAAATGTGCCTCTTTGTGAGGCACTGATCTTTGCAGTTAGTATCACCTGTGAAATGCCCCAGCTTCCAGCTGACCTGAAAGCCAGCGTGTCACAGCGACATGGGAACATCAGCCACATAGAGCTTTAGTATCGATCCGGCTGGTATTTCGTGGGGAAGTTCTGTTCAGTGTTTCCGGTGTCCCTCCCTATGCCACGGCCTGTGGCTCTATATTTTCCTCATTTAATCAAACAGCAGACTTGAGGATTTGGAGTGGGCTGGGGAGGCAGAAAAGGCCAAGGGTGTCAGTAACAGAAAAGGACCATGATCGTGGACAGTGAGCCACTGGAGACTGCGGGCTATTTACGGGTTATGAATGTGTAATTGAGTAACGGGATGTATTTCCACACTGGGCACAGTTGCTTCTATCAAAGTTGAAATGGAGTCATAAAACCTCATAACACACTGTAATGAGAGGGACTTGAGTTTTGCTGATGCCTCTGGGCTTGCGTGTGAATTCCCATCACGATGGACCACGGCCCCCACCCGCGGTCCTGGGCGGCTCAGTTCACAAAAGAAAAACAAGTTATTTATCTTAATCAGGCGTCCTGCCTCCAACATCCACCTACACAGCTGAAGACCTCGCGGTCCATCCCTCATCCAAGCCGGAAACCTTTGCAGCCTCCATGATTCCTTAATAAAATTTCCCACTCCCCAGAACGTTGCTGCTTCTTAACCACATAACAAGGGAAAGAAAGATAGAGCCGAGGTATGACGCAGAACAGGGATTCTCCGCCTTGGCAGCATTGACACTGGGGCTGGATAACTCCTTGTGGCGCAGGGGCGGCCTTGTGCGTCGTAGGATGTTCAGCTGCGTCCCTGGCCTCTCGCTCTCTGCCTGGTAGATGCAAGTGGCATCCACCCCCGTGCCCCGCAAGTTGTGACAACCAAAAAGACAGTCTCCAGACATTGCTAAATACCCCCTGGGAGGTACAGACAACCTCTTTACCCACCTAGTTGAGCACAACTGGTGCAGACAGTGATGGCCTCATGAAGGGGTACTCAGGTAGACTGAGCCCGACTCAGAGCCCATTAGAGGATCCAAGGGAAGGCCTACTCCTCTCCTGGCTGGACAGAGAATGGCAGAGCTGAACTGGTACTTGGGCCATCCCAATGACCTGGACCAGCTGATGCACACTCGCTTTTGGCTGCAGAAGTCTACCATGACACGGCTTTAGTTTGATCTCCAAATATGGCTCTAAACACCACTGAACATACATTCTCTTGCTTTTCTTTCCTATCAGCCCACAGAGCATTAACATTCTCCCTACGCTGCTCAACTTCCTTTCTGTGCCTGGTAGGATGGTTCTGCAGCTTCACTTGCCAGCAGGCCGTGAGCACACCACCAGCTGCATCTTGAATCCACCATCCCCTCAAGCCAAGAGCTGTGGTTCTGCATTCTTTCTCCATGGCCACATTACACAGCCACCGCTAGGGAATGAGTGACACAGCAGGTTGGGGCCAGCAAGTGCTTAAGAGAGGCCAACCTCACGTCTTAGGTTTGCAGTACAAGATCACTATGAAAAGGCTCTTACCAGCTTCCAAGATAAAGGAAACGTTTATTCAATTCTGAAACCCTCCATCATTCCCCAAATCCAAAGTGGCTGAATAAAAGTGAAAACCCAGCATTCATAGCTTACAGATCCTGTTTCAAAAATATGTCTGCCTCCAATCAGTTGTTTGGGAAACACAACACATCCTTCCTTTAAAAGGACACAGTAAGCAACAACGATACCAATCTGCATTTGTGTAGGACATTTCCATTCACAAAGTACATTAGAGCCTTTATTTCATTCAATCTATGAAACAGTTCTGGGAAACATCGGGGGATCATTGTTCCCGTGCTCAGAGAAGAAACTGTGGCTCACAGGGCACAAATGAGAATCCGGCCATCAAAGGCTGTTTGGAGCATAACATTCCTCATGGGGAAACGTCCTAACCGTATGGGCAACGGTGATTCTATAAGAAAATGGTCCCATTTCCCTGGGTGCACTACACATGCCCTTGCTGCTGTGGGCTCAGCGACTCTCTCAGTCCTTCCCTCTCAGGATGTGGCTTCATATTATCCAGAACTCCATCCAAGCCATTGGTAAAAACAGAGCAAGGGAGGGCTCAGGCCCAGCCCCCACCAGAAAGGCCTCAGACCTTGGTCAGCACTCAGTGCTTCCTGCACCCCCCTGTCCAAACCCTGCATCAGCATCTCCCCTGCACCCTCACCCTCCAGTCCAAAGCCCTGCTGGGGCACAGGACATAGAGCAGGAACTCCAGGAGAGGGCAGGGCGGGGGCGGGGCAGTGCTGTGGGGAGCAAGAGGCCCCAGGGAAGATGGGGCAGAGCGAGGAGCACCCCTCACCTCCAGCCTCACCTCGCCACCACTGTACAAACCCCTGGAAGAGGCAAGAAGAGGGCGGTCCCACGAGGCAGCTGGCTGCAAAGACAGAAAGAGGCAGGAGGGGACTGTGACAAGAGGACAGGAAGAGGGGGTCTGGGTCACAAATGACAGCGGAAAGGCACTCGCCCAGGGCAGCTAGATCTAGGCACATTTAATTTGCTTTGCTTATTTAAAGTTGATGCACACAGTGAAGCTCTTCACCAGCACTCCTGGGACTTCACCAGCAATGGCAGGCTTCCTTGTTGGTCTTGAAGATTCCTGGCTACCGCCCCAGAACCACCCCCAGGGAGTCCAATTCCTAGCTCCGGGTGTCCTGATCAAGGTGATCTGAAGATTGCCCTCGGGAAACCCTGCCCTAGACCCTGCTGTTCCCGGAGGCCACAGGTCCTGTGGGCATCACCTGTCTCTATTCCCTGCTTGCTGCTGCAGGTAGTGGCTGTCTTTCAGGCAGACTGTGAGCTGCGGTTTATCTGCAGAGGGACATGGCATGGTTCACTTATATTCCAGGAACCAGTTCCTCCCTTGTTTTGTGTTATTTTGATTTTTAACAAACATCCCAGGAGTGATACGTGTAGGTAAGCCTCGCCTTATTCTTGCAGCTGCAGCTCGGAATGTTGCTGTAATCAATCTGTGGCTGGACACACCTTTTGGAAGAGCATCCGTGGTGAGAAATATGTCCCTGTAGCCTGGATTTGATATGTGAAAGGAGCCAAAAGCTGCGTGGCATCAAGTCTGAGGAAGGAGGGAAGTGATCCAGCCGGAAAATCACATTTGGGTCTGAGGCCAAGGGTGACACTAAGCCCAAGGGCCTGACACCTGGCAGGACTCAAGCAAAGTCTCCTGAAACGTGAGGGAGGAAGAGCTCCACTTCTATCTCCAGGAAGGGCAGCATGAAGGCCAGAGCTCACCTACTCTGGTTTCTGACGATCGGAACTTGCTCCCCACCACCCCTGCCCCTATCAGCACATTCCTATGTGTGTCCCTGGTCGAGAGGGGTGGACCACCTCGAGGCCTGGGCAGGGACTCACCTTGCCAGTGATGCTTGTAGTCGCACATGCGGGACAGAGCGATCATCATGGCGCAGTACAAGGGCAGGATGGCGGCGCAGAGCCGCCAGCTCTTCCCCCGCCCACTCTCGGTGAAGCAGTGCAGCTTGCCCGCCAAGTAGAACGTCGTGAAGCCAAGGCCCGAAAAGGCAACTGCCAAAGAGAAACAGCAGGTGTTACTCTAGCAGGTGGTGAGTGGCAGGGACTCAGGGTGTCCTGGGTGTCCTGTCTACCATCCCGCACACCCCCGAGGCCAAGCCCAGGTTGGCACCAGACACCATCGAGGCAATCTGTGCTCCTGCTAGAACCATGCTGGTACGAACCTTTGAACGATGAGAATGATCTTCCAGACTCGCACGTGAGCAAAACCTCTTCTATTTCACTCATTCAACAATGATTGAATGGGATCTACTTTGTGCTAGACAGGCAGCATGCCAGGTGTGGGGTGAAAGAACGCTCTTGCTAACAAGCTAAGAAGAAAAATAAATTTCTAACTGACAGCCCCTTAGAATAACATGAACTGTGTCCCTGAGGTTAGTCACACAAATATCTCTTTTACAGAGGTATTTACCTAGCAATTAAAAGAAACTGAACAAACAAAAAAAGGTGCAAATCTTCATTAACATTCACCAGAACGGGTCGATTCATATTCCAAAAGGGAAAAGAGTTTCCAGGAGGGGGAAAAAACAATAGACTATCTGACAGACTGTCATCAAAAATTCACTGCCTGTAAAAAGGTTTTTCTGAATATTGTTTAAATAGCCTTAAAGAAGTTCCTGAGCAGACAGTAGGAGTGCAAACTCCCCACGCTTCCTCAAGAAGAGACAGTACCAGATGCCTCCCACCATGGAGAGGAAAGAAGAAAGTAATTTCTGTTATCAGTTCACCATGTGAAAAACAGAAGGAGCCAACACAGCAGTTTCTCGGCTGTCTTCTGCTAATGGGGCTACGGTCACAAACCCCCCACCCCCACCTGTCCTAATAGTCAGAGCCATTTGGCCTCAGGGCGGCGCCTCTCTATTTTCCGGCACTGTGACCTCTCTATCTCCTCGGAGAGCGAGTAAATAAACTTTGTGCTTCTTTCTATCCTAAACTCTATCTGAAAATTCCTTCTCACCCACATACAGACTTCACACCCTAACACGGGGAATAAAGATGCATCGGATACTATCTCTGGCACCAAGAGGCTCGCTGTCTAGCTGAGGGACATGACCGTGCTCATAGGTAATATTTACACATGTGTTACATTCTATAAGACTAAAAGTGCATGTAGAATAAAAGATTGTGAGAACTGCTTATATTTGAAGGGCGTGGGAAAGTAAACAGGGCTAGGATGAGCCCCAGATTCTGGGCTTGGGAGACAGAAGTACAATGATGCCGCTTGCTGAGATGGGACCAGCGACTAAGGTGGAGGAGTGGGTCTGACGGAGGCACGAGGGATGGCAAACACCTTGTTTTCTCACAGAAATGATGGTGACTGTTTCTTTGGAATTGCAAAGAAAACTCCTGGCTGTGCTAAATCCATTGTCTAAAGTATGGAAGGTGGGTATAGCATATATAATCCCCAAATGTTTTACCCAATCAGCTTTAAAACACAGTTGGGGCCGGGCGTGGTGGCTCACGCCTGTAATCCCAGCACTCTGGGAGGCCGAGGTGGGGGGATCACTTGAGCTCAGGAGTTCGAGACCAGCCTGAGCAAGAGCGAGACCCCATCTTTATTAAAAATAGAAAGAAATTAGCCGAACAACTAAAACGTACATAGAAAAAATTAGCCGGGCATGGTGGCACATGCCTGTAGTCCCAACCACTTGGGAGGCTGAGGCAGGAGGATTGCTTGAGCCCAGGAATTTAAGATTGCTGTCAGGTAGGCTGATGCTACAGCACTCTAGCCCAGGCAACAGAGCGTGCACATTTGGAACTCAGTGAGATTTAAGGTGGGTTTTCTGTGGGCTTAGAGCAATGGTCCTCAACTCTGGCTACTCGGGGAGTCACCTTTAATACCTGGGAAACTTTAAACAATACTGGTAGCCAGGTCTCACTGACAGTCATTCTACAGTGTCTGGAGTGGGACCTGGCACGTGTGTACATGTACACACGTGTGTGCACATATGTGTGTGTATGTGTGTGTGTGTGAACTTCCCAAGTGACTCTAATGGCAGCCACGACTGAGCTTAGAGGCTTTTGTTGAAGGCAGATGCTAAAGCTCCCACTTTCTCTGGACACCAGTTGAATCAAAACTTTCCTCTTGATTAGAACATGCTCCCCAGGGGGCTGAGCTCCTAGGTAACCAGCCCACACACTGACTTGGTAAAACAGGTCTTATAAATACCCTAGATGCCAGTACATCAGCAACCTTAAGAGACTGCACAAAGCCCGAGCTGCAGCCCGTGCAACACGCGGAATCGGTTACAAATGCAGATTCTCGGGCCCAGCCTGGACCTACTGAATTAGAGTCTGCATTCCACAAAGTGATCTGTGTGCACACTGCAGTCTGAGAAGCCCTAGTCTAAAACGCATCCATCGTCTCTAACAGAAATCTCAAAGAGTCTACCTTAAGGAAATAATACAAAATATGAGGGAAATCTAGATGTTCTGCTCAGTTATTTATAATTATGGAAAAACTGAAAGCGAGCAGCACAGAGGCATAGATTAGCAAACTGTGGCATTTCCATTCAATGCCCTATAATGCAACCATGAAAACTACTGTGATCATATAGCAGCATGGACAATACTTAAGACACAATTAAGTGAATAAAGCAGGACCCTAAATTGTAGGTTCAAGGTAATTATGGCTAGAGGACAAAACAACGAACAACCCGTAGCTTTTCCAAATTATCTCTGAAATAATATGCCTTCTCCAAAGGGATCTCAGTTATGAACACAAACTTAAACCCAAGTAGAATTTTTTCAGAAACCAGATTAAATAAAGTTACTGTTTTTTTTTCTTTTTTAAAGTGAATATTAAACCAGGTTTATCCCAGGTATAAAAATGAAGCAAAAGTACGGAAATGCAAGGGTGAGTGGTGTGTGCACTGAAACACTTCTGAAAAACAATTAGCACTCAAACAGCAAAGCAGCACCAACGTATATGAAGCATTCTGCTTAAAGTAAGAATATGTGAGAAACTGCACTGCCCAGCCCTGCTCTAGATGCTGTGACGGAAGGGTATTAAGTGATTTACATGGTGTTCCAAAGCGGCCCCATTTGGCCACCATCCTAGCAAGCGCAACAGCTTCTTAATTTCCATCCTCATCCACTTCGCTCTGTTCCTTCTATTCATTTGCATTCTCCCAAGAGGTATCCTGATTAGGGAGGCAGGCTAGAGAGCTGGCTCCCATTGGTACTGGCCCCATCCTGGGCTCCTGCAGCAGGAATAATGGACTTTATTAAAATCAGATGGCTTAGCAAGTCTATCCGCCTAATTACGCTAAGTGTGGGAAGCACAAAAGAACTGCCCTGGGGCTTTGGAGGGTTATGGATGAAAGTCTCCAAGATTTGACTGAGAGGAGAGGCAGCCCTGGGTGTTGCCAAATTGGCATCTCTCAGGGAAAGAAACAGACAAAAAAAAAGTCAATGAACATAGGGTAGAGGCTGAGCAGAAATTTTTTGTGTCCCCATAACAAAATGACTTGGAGACTTTAAGACAGATGAGTCATAGGCTCAGCAGCCAATACCACCTGTACCTCTGGGCACCTTCAGGGCATGGAGAAGGGAAGGGGCCCTGGAAACCCTCCACTGTCAAGGCCTCGGGCAGGTGGTTCCCGGTGAGATCCTGGGCCGTCACCTGAGCTCTTCGCCTCAGGAGCCCTAAGTTGGCCAGCTTCGAACCACGGACTTTGACTCATTCTTTGGAAAGTAGGTAAAATGCGTTCTCTCCCACGCAGAGCCAGGCCCCACGCTGGGACCCCTCCAAAATGTTGAAGCCCCTTCTTTGAAAACAGGGAGGGATTCCAAGGCATTTTCAAAGGCTGACTGCAACAGCCTAGATCCCACGGGCACCTGGCAGCAGCCAGTCTTCCTTGACACACACTGTTGTGCCTTTGGATAATATTTTTAAAGCCTCGCTGTGTGCCCTTACTTTTCTAGGTGACACAATGAGGCTCTAATTTCATATGAAACCTTATGCTTGTCACTTTCTCATGGATATTTACACAGTTATTGAACCAACATAATGTCCTTTGACACAGGACTTCTGAGGTGACTCCCTCTGGCCCAGGAGACATGTCTGAGCTGTAAGAATCACTGGTCCCTTTGCACTTCTGCTTTTCCGATAATTACCCAAGTACGACTTAGACCCTACCAAGCCTAGCTGAATTAATATGATAGCATACTTTGTCTGTCGTCTCCTCCAGTGAGCTAAGGGGTTGGGGAGCAACCCATAAGCCATTCTGCTCTGAGATCCTAGGGCTCTGAACTATCAAGGCACAGATTCAAGTTCGACTGGCAAAAAAGGGAATGGGAAGGCTGCCATGCTTTCCAACTCTAGCCATCCAACAAAACATGCAGTTGAGACATTGTGGGGGTGGGGGTGGGGGGTGGGGTACACAACCTTTTATCCTGGTGTGAAACGAGTTAGATGACGTTCATTCCAAGTGAGTGTTTGTCCCTCCCTTTTAAACACAGTCCTAGCTGGAACCAAAACTGAGACATATGAGTATATGGACAGGGCATTGAACATTTTGGAAGATGGTGATTCCAAGATGGCATAAATGTATTCATGTCTTGCTAACATGACCAACAACAGAATGAGTAGAAAACTCCCAAGCTGGTGGGGTGAAAGAATACTGAGTCTGCCAGTCCTAGGGATCCAACTGGTTCATTTGCTCTCTGGAGTTTGAAACACACACACACACACACACCTTTACTACTGATGGAAGGGAGGCAGGCACAGTGCTCCGTGGGACCAGCATATGCACACACACACACACACACACACATACACACACACACACACACTTTTACTACTGATGGAAGGGAGGCAGGCACAGTGCTCCGTGGGACCAGCATATGCCCCTTGTTTCCAGAGCCTGTAGTAGGTTTTTGTGGATGGAAGCAGCTGGTTATACATATTTATATGTTGATCTGGCTGTGAAAAGCAAAGATGCTTTAAACTAGGAAGAAGATGACAGATGATGGCTGCCTCTGCCCCACCC